ACCAAAAAAAAAAAAAATTTAATTTTTCTTTTTTGCGAGGGACCCTCGCAATCCCCTCTACCACCCTAGGGGGTCAACCCCCCGCGGTGCCCCCCACCAAGCCCTGGCAAGTTCGGACGGGAAACGGCCGTACGGGCGTTTGTCGGTCTGTTCGGACAGGTCGTACGGCGACCCCCTGTACGACGTAGAGGGGACTGCACTGATGAAGGCACGTTTGTGTGTGGCCACAATTGTTTTGATCGGGAATGTTTGTTTGGAGTCATGGTCACGGTATCTTTGCGAGGAGGCTCAGAGAGTCTTTGCTGTGGGTGTCACTACCACGGGCTGCCCTTTTGGATCACATGGAAGATGGTGGTACTTCCGTGGTGTTTTAAGCAGTAGTGCTCCTGGTGTTACGTGGAGATTCTGTGAATGTATGCTTGGAGTTCTGTCCACGGTATCTTGGCGAGGAGGCTCAGAGAATGTTTGCTGTGGGTGTCGTTCCCATGGGCTGGTCTTTTGAAGCACAAAGAAGAAACGGGGACTTCCGGGTTGTCTTAAGCAGTAGCCCTCCTGGTGTCGCGTGCAGATCTTGTGGTCTTTGGGATTATGGTATTCTATACACTCCAGAGGCTAGACAGCAGATGGGGAGTGCCTAGCCATGGAGTGATAGAGATAGTGGTGATGTGAGTGGGTCGTTTGGGAGGAATAGGAGTGCCAGTGCTGCTGTGCTTGTGGGCTGACTCGGAGGGCTCTACAGGTTTATTCGGACTATTGCTGGATCTGGTCAGTGCTTTCTTACTGCTTGAGCCTTCTGTGTTAGGTATGCTGCCTGCTGCCCTTTACCTTTGTTTTAATAGATTGAAAAAACTAATGTATATTTGTGCAAGTGTAGCGATTCGGCGGCAGACGGGTGTGTGGGCACTTCCCGCTCAACCACACAAATGTGGGGAGCCTTGCACCCTCTGTTATATTGCTCATCTATACGTCTTTTGCTTATGGATGGTTGTGATGGTATGTGGATGGAATGAGAGAGAGAGTTTGGGGATGTTGACAAACACACATACACATTGATGACATTCCTATCTTGGAAAAGATCTTTGTCCTCGAGGTCCAAACATATCAGATTTTGTAAATGCCATGGAGATGCAATGAACTCCCTGACACGATGTATGCTTGTCAGGGGCCATCCTCCCAGCGTCCTGGCCAGAGGCTTGGACTGCATGCATCCATGGCAGCCAGCGTCGTCACCTACCCACTTGAGTCATACGGATTTCGAACTGGTTTTGGCACATGGTGCGCTGGGTAATTGCTCACGCGTTGCCGAATGCTAATTCTGTGCACACTGCACAGGCAGCATCAGCCCTTCACACAACCACACGCAATGGGGCCCACCCACTCTTGAACACCAACTTCTGAATATAGGGGCCGCATCAGCTCTCCACACAGCCAAACGCAGCTGGCTCACCCTCCTCTTTTATCTGTTCTGAAATGACGGATGCTAATGTGGATAGTGCATCTCAACTGGAGATCAGGCCAGCCGCAACAGACAAATTGAATGTAAAGATTGTCGAAGTAGCTGCAGGGGCTGATGGCCTGCATGCTACCCATGAGGTGGCTGCTGCTGAAGGTGTGCCTCCTCCTTCACCACCACTACTACCACCACCACCACCACCTCCTCTTCTGTCAACTCCACCAGCACCACCATCATCACTACCATACCATTATTACCACCACGACCGCCACCATTGTCACCATCAGCTCCCCCACCTGCGTCTTCTACTACATCATACCTCCTTCAACTGCCTCCTCTTCTTCCTCCGCTTCCTCCTCGTCTCCCTCTTCTTCCTCCTCTTCCTCCTTGTCTCCCTCTTCTTCCTCCTCTTCCTCCTTGTCTCCCTCTTCTTCCTCCTCTTCCTCCTTGTCTCCCTCTTCTTCTTCCTCTTCCTCCTTGTTTCCCTCTTCTTCCTCCTGTTCCTTCTTGTCTTCCTCTTCTTCTTCAAATTGTCTCCCTCTTCTTCTTCCTCCTCCACCTCCCCCTGGCATGCCTCATCGTCCTCGTCATCGACACATTCATGGTGAAATCAGCCGTTACAGAGGCCACATCAGCGGAGGCAATCATGGCCAGGTCGGTCGTCACAGAGGCCTCCTCGGTGGAGATGTTCACCATTTCCACCGCGCCTCCTAGACAGCAGTCTAGCTTGTACTTGGACAACATGATCACTGTGCCTCTGCTAGGGGTCAGAGATCTACTCCGACGCTATGCTCGCAGCTGTACGGAATGACATTGTTGCTCTCGATACACAACCAGGAATGTACATGTCGAGTTCGATGGCCACAATGACGATTTGTTCAGTGTCGCAGGCCTCTATTGGCACCAGGCATGAGGTTCAACCACGTGTGCAACCACTCTAAGCACAAGTGTAACGCTTCTGGTTCCTGCAACTGATCCAGGCACTTCTCGTCCACCTACCCCCGATTGCTCCCCCGCTCCAATTGACAATGAGCCATCTTCTCCTCACTTGATGCAGCCCCCGACTGGAGATGATCTCACTCCAGAAGGTATGCTAGAGTCAATGAAGTCAACTTGAATACGGCTCGACGACCTTGGTAGAAACAGTCAAGCCCGAAATGAACCTCTCCCTAGAGTGCGATCTGTAGAATTAAATGAACCTTCCCCTTTCTTGCAATCTGCAGAATCAAATGATCTAATTGTGCTACAGGAAATCCATTGTGTGTACTGTCCTATTAACATGAGTCTCTTCGCTTACAACTGCAACCCATATGTTGTTTCTGAATTTGCAGACATTGTCTGTAAGATAGAAGAAGAGCACCGCGGTTTTTGCGCAGAGGATGACAGTACTGCCATCATAGGGAACATAGAAGTCATGTCTATGACATAAATGACTACAACTCTAGCAACCCTTACAGCCTCCGGAGAGCAATCCGACTAAACCTCCTCCCAGCAAAGTCCTCATCCCTCGGACGATAGCTATTGACAAGCTCGTCAGATCTGTTATGAAAGGATAAATAATAATCATTCTAGTAGTTCTATTAACTTTTATTGAGTTTTATATATTTTTCCAGTTCGTTTGCACAAACAATTCTTTAGATAAAATACCATATGTCGCATTATAGGAATAAAACATTTGCATATTTAGTCGACGCGGCATCAATCTCACTCTCTTTCGTTCATAGTCTCCTTCCCCCCCCCCCCCCCCCCCCCCCCTCTTCCTCCCTTTTTGTTTTTTTTTTTCATTCTCCTTCAATCATCATTGAAGGATGATGCCTATTATTCGCAACGATTTTTTCGCTGGCCGCTAATCGCCTTGGATTATGAATGATTCTTCAACACAAGAATTTATTTGTAAGTTATCAAAATTATATTAGAGGCTAGGCTACCAGAGTGGCCCGAGACCAGTTGCCCAGCCGGGCAAAAAGAAAAAAGAAAAAAGAAGAAATATGTTTTTGTAATTTTAAATTTGGTAAAGAATTTCGATGTGACCCTGAGCCAAACGTTGTTTGGTTTATTTTTTTGCATAACATTAAACATAATTGTTTTTCAGAATTTTTGGTTTTTTTTTTTTTTTTGCTGGGATCTTTTATAGCCCTTGCACGGTCGGGCAGCCCGGGGGAACAAGGTCACCCGGGCGGCCTGGCTGGTAGCTTAGATTAGAGGGCAATGGAAGTTTCTTTAACAATCCCCTTAGAGGAGTGTCGCGTCGAAAACTTCAAATGGGGAAAAAGATTGACGCTAAAATAAATCGTCACAGGAATTCGACATATTTGTTATCTTGCGGCTGACTTTGGCCAGCAGAAAAAACACGTTCAGTGATTTTTTGCATTCAGAAGATTGCGTCAAAAAATCTAAAAATTGCAGGGCCCGTAAATTTTGTCCTCGTCTTTCTAGGAACAACATTTAAAAAATGGAAGAAAATGATTTCAAATTACTAATGCATTTTTTATTTTTGCCACTCTATCGGTTCTCCACACTATCCTAACGGTAGTCCTCGATAACCTGTGCTACCGGTCCCCCGAAAAAGGTAGGCTCCCATAAGCCAATGCTACCGGGGGAGTGGTGGTTCAAGAAAATCAAATTCTGACCTAAGACTTGTTTCGAATTTTGACGAATTCTTTAATTTAGCAAAAAAAAAAAACATTGTTTCCCTTGGAAAGGTAAACTCTTAAGACTTATACTAAAATCTTAATTAAATGTTTTTGTAGGTCTCAGATTGTCCAAAGTTATGCAATCCCATCTGGTAGTACTCTACCGATAATGGCTCCAACATATGATGGTGTTATGGTATTTTCTTTATTTTGTGAAATATTGTAGAATGCATTGTGAATACCCTAGATAGGTTGTGCATTCTAGATGATAGGACCATTTTGAGGATATAACCCAATTGCTTTGGGATACGGCGTGTGATAATAGTTAACCGTCAACGCGCCAAGTGGAGCTCGTGAGATCAAGTGGCCCAATAGAGGTATCCTCGGATATTATCTATTCTGTAAAAGTGGCACAGACCAGTAAAAATTTGACTTATCTTCAAAGTGGGTAGCACCCCGTACGCGTACGCGTATGTACTCCAGCGTACGCGTACGAACCCGAAATCGCGCGTACGCGTACGTTTAAAAAAAAAAAAAAAAAAAAAAA